ATTTGACACACAAAGATTTTCTCTCTGATGCAAAAGCTCTCAATGTACACACAAGCAATAAGTAATAAATCATGATCATAGTCACCAAAAATATATTAATCATAAATGAATAATAAATAAATAAATAAATAAATAATAAACAAACAAACATGTCAACCACTACTTCAGTTGTGGTTCAGATAAACAACATGGGAGTAAGGAGGAAGAGGAAGGTTGCATGATACAGAAATGCCTTCAGGAACAGCTAGCCAAGCATCCTGAAGCCAAAGCTAGAGGACTGTATAGATGTGCTAATATGTTTTGCCACATGGAGAATTTGAACCCATTAAACATCAACTTGCAGAGCTGTTTGCCAGGGTAAATTTCAGCCTCATCCAGAAAGCACAAAATTTTCTTGCAATTTTACAGCCATGTTCTCAATTGAAAATGTGCAGAGTTCCAGTCAGACCAGCAGAGATTGGGGAAAATATCTGATTCCCACAAGGTATTTTATTGTTTTTATATTTTTGCCTGACAAGCAAACATTTGGTGGAATGCTTGAAGAACTGGGGACAGCATGCTATCTCTATTTTTAAACTGTAACAGGAAACAGATCAGATTTATTTTCAAACTAACTTGTGATAAGATTAAGGCAGATACCTACAGTGGTGGATCTACAAAGGGTCTAACAGGAAGGAATTCTTGCTCTCTGGAATCACAACATCCCTCCATCACAACCCATATTGACCAGATATCTGGCACATAAACACGCCTTGTAGCCTTAGGATCAGTGGTGGGTTCTGGATCCTGTTGTAACTGTTGCATCCTCTCGACGCAGTCGGCAGGCGTGGCCAGAGCCTCAGGCTCCTGATTGGCTCTGGCGCGCCTGCCGGCCAGTGGGAAAAATACTGGCCACCGATTGGCTACCCGCCTGACAGCTGTCAAATATAAATAGCTGTCAGGCAGGCTTCGCTCGTTCGTGTTCTGAGTTCTCTGTTGACTGTTCCACGTTAATAAAAGCTGTTCCGTCTACCTCAGTGCCTCGTTCTTAAAAGTAACCAGTACGGTGTAACAGGGCTGGGTGTCCACCACATGCACGTGCGCAGCGCACACCTCCCGCAACACCTCCACAACGCTCCAGTTGCTCGGCGGAGCACCATATGCTACGTGTATGTGCGCAGAAGCCCCAAACAGCTCAAATACTGGTAAGGAGGGCAGTTGGGCCCTCCGGAGCACAGTACCAGAACAGTACCTGGTGCTCCCAGCAGGCACCAGTAGGCCCGTACTGGGGCGTACTGGTCGTATCCCACCACTGCTTAGGATAAAACCTGAGTGCTTCTCCTGAAAATTACCCTCCTTTATAAACTGGAGGAAAGGGAGAAGGGTATATATATATTTTTAAATACCCCAATTTCCCTGGAGACCTTATATCCAGCCTCTCACAGATTGTCCTGTGGGAAAGAGGAACAAGTGAAAAGCCAGGAATATCTGAATGTTCAAATCTTCCAGCTATGTGTCAGTCATCACTAAGCAGACTCACCATTGCTATGATTCTCAAAGATAAGCTTGTCATTGCATTCCTGCTCTTTCACACAACCACAGATGTAAAAAACGCCATCCTCATTCTGCTGCCGGATCATGACACACTTCGACGTGTTATATCTTGATATCATGATATTTTCCACTGGCAGCTGTGGGTTGTGGCAGAAAGTGTTTACTTTTATACTTGCATTGACTTGTTTCCTGAAATGGCAAGAAAGATATAGATATTAATGTTCAAATAGCAATATTATCACTTATTTTGCTTTCCATATTTGTCATTCATTTTTTAGAACAGAAGATCTGGTTCACACCTCGCACTAAGCCATATTTTTCTTAACCACGGTTTGTTAAATAAAACATACATTGATCGAGATTATCGCAGGCTAAACTATAAACCAAATGTACTGTGTTATGATTTAGGGCAGTGATAGGGAACTTTTTTGTTCTTGAGTGCCAAATATGCAAGGCCGCGCGCACGATAGTGTGTGTGTGTGTGTGTGTCAGCACCCATAATGCAAAGCGCCCCCCCACATGCTCATGCCCGCACAACCCCTCCCACGTTCCCCATCCACCCATGCACACTGCACTGCTCGCCTCCAAGGTGAGCTTGGTATCTCCTCTGGAGGGGTTGGGTGGGGGGGCGTTTTTGCCCTCCCCAGGCTCCAGTAAAGCCTCCAAACTTCATTTCCAAACTTCATTTCCAAACTTCCAGTTGGCCTGTTGGGGCACATTTTTCATCCTCCCTAGGCTCTGGAGACTTTCCTGAAGCCTGGGAAGGGTGAAAACGGCCTCCCCCGGCCCTTCAGAAGTCAGGTGGCGCACACATGCATGCTGGAGCTGCCGGCAGATATGGGTCTGTGTGCCACCCATGGCACATGTGCCATAGGCTTGCCATCATGGATTTAGTGTGAGGAATGATGCCATTGCAAACATAAAATATATTGCTTTTCTTTTATGGTTCAGGAAAACTTCCAGCCAAACAATTGATAATTACAGTGCTAATAAGTGATCACATTATAAATATTATTCTCCCTCTCTCTCTCTCCCTCTCTCTCTCTCCCTCTCTCCTCATAAGCAGGCAGAGGGGCACACAGATTTTATCTATGATGATTGAATATAGGTTATGCAAAATGTTGTCCTTTTGTTTCCATGAACTGCTCCGTTTTTGCAAATGCATCAGTGCAAGATTCCATTAAGTCAAATACCAGAGAAGAAAGGACTACATAGGAATCTACATAATAGACAATTATTTTAGGCTGTCATTCTTGAGAAATTTTTAAAAAAATGTTTGCTTACCATAGAGAAACACAGATTTCTTCTGGTTTTTCACAATAGGAGCTAAAATTACAGTTGGTGTAGCACACCTGATTTTCACAGATGGGGTAGGTATTGTCACACCACTTGCAGACATTGCTGTTCACATTCCTTCCAGCTCGGCTGGTGCACACTGTGAATATAAAATTGAATGACAAAGTTTCAGCATCAGCATGAAAACTTTTCTGAGCCTTACTTGACCATGTGAGCTGACGTATGCTTTTCAACACTGTTTTCCATAGACTATGAATGGTTAAAGAAGGGCCTAAGGCAGGGGTGTCAAACTCAAGGTCCGGGCGCCAGATCTGGCCTGTGGGGTGCATAGATCTGGCCCACAGGGCCACCCTGAAAAGAGCAAATGACTAGCCCACATTGGGGGCCAGCAAAAATGGAGCTCGGGAGGGCTGCATGCTCTGTTTTTGCTGGCAGAGGGTTCCAGTCCATTCTAGCCGAAAACAGAACTCACAAGGGCCACGTGGGCTCCCAGCTCCATTTTTGCTGGCAAAGGGTTGCAGGAGTCCGTCTCAGCTGAAAATGGAGCTCAAGAGCCCGTATTCAGTGCAGAGTGCTCAGGCCACTATAGGCACCCCTGACATGAGTGATGTCAAGCTGGCCACCCAGCCACCCACCCCCACCCTCCCAAGGTCAAACAAAACCCTGATGAGGCTCTCAAGGAAATCGAGTTTGATACCCCTGGCCTGATTTTAAAATGGACAGGTCTGAGCATCTTGGAAGAAGGGCCTAAGGCAGGGGTGTCAAACTCAAGGCCCGGGGGGTTAATTAGAATGGTGATCTTAAGCCTTGCAGAAACCTAATATATCCATTTTGCCTTCCTAAATCCCAACAAATGTCAAATAAGAGCAGAAATATATGGCACGATACACCCAAGTGCAAGGAGCTCAGCTCCAGAGGATTGATTGCACCAAAGGCATCTAATTCACACTGTTCTTGTGTTGCCAAACCTCCTATAATTCTATTCACCCAAACATGGCTTCTTGGAGAAACACAACTTTGCATGATATACTGAATTATAAACAACCTGTATGAGCTTGTACAACATGCTAGAAGATTAAGCAGTCTGTCAGCTTACATTCCTCATATAATGAATTAAACACAGTGAGCAAAGCTCTCAGATGAGGTGGCCATACACTGTAGCATGGAGAAACCATCTCTTTGAATCAATCAATCTGACCGATTACACGTTAACTGCATTCAGATATTGTATTAAGCCATGATCTATCTAATAATGATTTATATACAAACTACATTTGGCTAGATTTTCATTACATGCTAAATCATAAATACAGTTTTTAGGTTTTATGGCTGGTTTCACATAATATTCCAAGGCACACAAATCACTCTTAAATTCAGAACAATATGTTAATTTAGTCACATATATCTAAACAGAGAAGGAGACTGTATTTTAGCTGTGGAAATACACACTGAACATATTGAAACAGGTTGAGGGGTCATTGCAATTCAACATGTAGGAAGAGTACCAATTAATGCCTGAAGGCAACATCTTACAAAACTTTTAGGCTTTGTTCACAGTACATCATTAACCCAAATTGCCACTAACCCAGGCTTTGATCACGCAGTCACAACCAACTTCTTGGACTTCTTGACACATAGACACATACACTCCATTTTTGCAATGGAGCACCTTGTGGCTCAGTGGTGGGTTGCAAATATTTTTATTACTGGTTCGGGCTTGCTCATATGCGCACGCAATGCTTCGGAGCATGAGCAGAAGCATCTGGGCGGATGGGCGGGGCTTCCTGCCACTGCTGCTACTACCAGTTCGGTCGAACCGGGCTCAACCGGAAGCAACCCACCATTGTTGTGGCTGCACATCTTTATTTTGCTTTCTTCGTATCTGAGAGGTGACTAGGTTTCTGGAGTAACATAATACAGCGTGACCGGAAGACAGTGTTTTGATTCCCCAAATAGGCTGGAGTCATTCATTTTGTGTCTCCCAATAGATGAAGCAACCAGTATAAAATGCTGGATCTGAAAAAGTCCATAGTAAGTATGTTGCATAAAACCGCTTGAGATTTGGCAGAGAGAGCATTAATCATCAGATTCTGAGGTTCAGATTTCTGAATGGGACAAAAACAGAATTAAGGTTGATATAACCTCAGTATCACAGGAACGTGGTGGCTCAGTGGCTAAGATGCTGAGCTTATCAATCAGAAAGGTCAGCAGTTTGGTGGTTCGAATCCCTAGCACCATGTAACAGAGTGGGCTCCTGTTACCTGTCCCAGCTTCTGCCATCCTAGCCATTCGAAAGTGGGACAGTCACGATTTATAAAAATTTGTCCCGTGTCCCGGGGCTTCATGTTGAAAGCCCAGTGAATTTGCTTAAGAAATCCTAACCGGGGCAAGACAAAAGATACTCTGTCTAAACCCTCTCTCTGTCTCAGTACTTTCATTAAAGATATTAAAACGTTAAAGCAAGAAAACGGACCCCCCCCGCACCCCTTTTACCTCATTTTATAAGAAAAGATGACCCAGTACCATAGAGCTGCAGGAAATACTTGGCTAGAGAAGTCGCAAGTGTTCCTTCCTGGATTTCCCGGAGGGGAGGGGCACGGAGAATGGAAGTCGGCTCGTGTGGAAAAAATGG